GGAAACTAAGACTAATGGGTGGAAATATTAAGAAAGGGAGATTTAAAAGTCAAGGTAAGGAATAACTTTAGAGCAATTAGAGCTGCTAAAAAATTGAATGACCCAGTTTTTAGGTAATGAATTCCCTCTTATTGGTAATGTCAGACAGAGGTAGAAGGGGCGTATGTCAAAAATGCTGTCAGTAAAATTTCTGAACTGGTAAGAGTTTGTAAAAAAAAAAGGAATTTCTAATTTTTTTTTCCCTAAAGAGCCCAATTAAAGTAGGTCAACAAAAATATTTTTAGAAGGGAGAAAACACTACCTTGGAGACAGAAACATTTAAATCTCTTTCAGACTGAACAGGCACAAGGACTTTATGTCCAAACAAGCATTTTGAAAAATCTCAGTCCTGTTCATGAAGGAAAAATTCTATAAAACCCCATTTAATTAGAATATTAGGATCAGGCTATTTTGTGTCTCTGAGAATAATGGAGATGTACTCTCTCTTCTTGTCCCTTCGTAGTATTTCAGAATGTTTGTTCAAAGAATAGCTGTTTACAAAAATTAGCATATTGCTTTTCTGTCCCTTGTAAATTAGCATCCCTAAGTGGCTAAAAGATTTTTCTAGGCTTCCAAGGGTCTCTACAGCATTCATCAGAGTAACTGAAGCTGAATACATTTTTTTGCTTGCACGAATTTGTTGCTAAGAAGAAAATTTGGTACATCTACTTATGTAATGCTGCTTATCCTTCTCCCTAGGAAACACCCCAATTTTCACAATGTTAGAGAGCCCCAAACTTAGCCAAAGCATGCTTTGTGTTTCTTTCAGGATACTGGGCAACAGGGTAGTCTATGGGATAAAAAAAATTCATTACCTCTGTCATTAGAAGACTGAACCTAAACAAAAGACTTTTAAAAATAAGCAATGTCTGTCATGAAGTGTTTAATGGTGCCAGTTTCAAATAAGTCTTTATTTTAAAGGACATGAATTGTATTTTCTGCTAATCTAGGGTGGTGATAAAACTTATATTCAAGAATTCAGAATACTTAGAAATGGCATCTCAAATGAGATTCTTAAACTACCACTATACCGACTTTGCTACAAATGTAGGTCCTTCAAATTTTGTGACAGGCTTAATAGAGTATGTATTTCTGGTCTGCTTAGCCATCCTATTTGTTCTTGGGTCTGGAACTGACACTTCCAGGTGGAAAGATTTATATCAGTTTCTAAGAAGAGACCTTGAACTCCCTGCTTTGTATTTCTCAGACTCTTAAACCATGTGTTTAATATCTTATTTGTTACAAATTACTTTAATATTGTCATTTTGCCTGTACTTATCTAAGCAGCATACATTTAAAAAATGCTATTAGCATTAATGTAAAAAATTAATTTGTGTGTCTGTGAATTCAAGTTTGTCAACACGTTCTTATCTGTGTTTAATGCCTTCTTGCATTCATAAATCTGAACAAGGGCATTAGGCTAGTTAACTGAGTAAGTAGTATATATTTGTGTGTGTTGGGGGGTGGAGGGGGTTGATATTTTATGCCCAGTCTAGTAGTTATTATATCACCATCAGCCCCAATATCAGAGAACATTAAGTAAGTATGACATCCAAGGTGTACCAAGAGGTAAAGCTAGTCTTCTTGTTCTTCCTGACATTCTTTGGGTTCTTGAGCTTCAACTTGGCAACCAAATGATTGACCTTTGATTTGTCAAACTCTTCTCCACCAAAATGGGTCTCTGGGTTTAGACTTGACTTCAAAGTTTCCATTTTGAATAGGGAACTTGGTAATATCAAAAAAGTCTCTTCCAAGGACCAAATCATTACTTGACTCTATACAGCAATATTCTTGTCCAAAGAATAAGAACTAACACAATGAGTTGGCCTTTCCTGATTCAAGTTCTTATTAAATAAAAGATTGCTTTCTTTTCTCTGTAAAGGAAAAACACAATTTTAGTATAAATCATAAATTACAAGGAGGTGTACTTCAATATTTGAAGTGGAATGAATGATATAAAATTTTAGATTGTGAAGAATTAGGATTGATTCTTTTTCATGGTATAATTTTGACCCTCCCAAGTGTTTAATGGTCATGTAATTAAACAGTTTTTCTGCTTTCCCTACTTGTCCACATTTGGATTAATGTGGATAATCCAAATCAGTATCTGTATCTGTATCCTGATCAAGTTCTTTATTTTCTAGCTCTAAATTTTCCTATATACAGATCCAATGCCTTAGTAATAAGAAATTAAATGTTAAATGGAAACTCAATTGAAGGTCATTTTGTCTTATTCCATTACAGCAGAACCACAAAATACCACACTTAGTGAGATCTGACTTTCCGTATAATTTTCTACCCAATGATATAATATCTTTATAATTTGCTTCTTTTCTGAGCCAGTTTCTTTATTAGCAAAATGTCTATTTGGCAGTAATATTTTGTCCTTTTTAAAATGTGGCAAAAAAACCCTCCACCTGCATTTCAGTTGTCAGTGGATTTAGAGTTTTGGTCTTTGTTTGACTCACCTACTATTTGTCCTACTAAGAGACCTTAGCAGGTGTAGGGAAATGTAGTGGGTTTTGAAGGACATGCAGATAGAAAAAGGAAAAAATATCAAATTCAAGGACAATAGGTGAACAATCACCTAACTTTCTCACGGTGGTAATTTATTACATCCGGAAATGCTGGGCTCTTCAATTTTTTTATTTCATTGTGGAAATTGTGAGGAGAGAACAGGATATAATATGCCAGAAGTATGTCAAAAAAAATGAGATGAAAACAGAAAATAATGAGATGAACTCTTTTCATTTTCTACATGAAACAGCAAAGGAAGATGTGTCTTTTCATCTTGTCCAAATGTCATATTCCATTATTTCCTTTTGGAAGTTTTTTCAAAAAATCTGGATTCTTTGCTCTGGACTTCTTTGTAGCAATTAGTGTTACAGTTAAGGTTTTTGATACCTATTGGGGATTATCAACGTCAACAAGATTTGAGGACCAGAAATTGTAGGCAGTAAACAATGAATTGAAGTGAGAAAATTGTGAAAAGTATAATGTTTTGCACAATGTAAATTATTGCATCTATTATTAGTAATAACATTAAATGCCTTTTGTAATTTACTTGAATGTTATGATTTATTTTTATTATTTTCATGCTTGTAAGGGTTTACATTTAAGGGAAGTGCCAAGGTGTTCAATCTTTCTAACATTTTATTAAATATTAAAATTGGGTTTTTTTGGATGTAATTTTATTTACTCCTTAGCTGATTTGATGTTTGAACCTGAATTATATTCACCCAGGTACAAGTGAGGGGAAAATTGGGATAGGGATTTATTTTCCCTCATGTTTAACTGGTTTTTTTGTACTGTCTTGAAATATACATGCTACTTTTCTGGCATTTAATCATTACTGCATAGCTCAATACATATTTTTTTATAGAAATCTGGCCTATTTATTTTCAAAGAAGATTGTGTTTTTGAAATATTATGAACATTTGAATCCTTGAGATCAGATTACATGTGAACAGGAATAATAATAGTAAAAAAATACAGAGGAACAGTGACACAGTAATATAGACAACATTTATATTTGCTTTTGAGTTATGTTTTGAGCTAGAGTTGAACAATGTCATAATTGATATTCTATGAACTAAAGTACTTCCAACAAAATAATGTCTCAAGATGTGTTAGAAACAGCTTAATTCCCAGTTCAATATCTTATCATTTATAATTTTGTGGGGAATGCTTAAATTGGTTGCATTTGTGAACTTAATTTAAAATGTTGTCTCTTTGCGCCCTTTCATCTTACTATTATATCATATCATTTTGTATTTCTTTGGGACTAGGAAAATAAATGTTTATAATTTTTAAAAGATGTAGTTTAGCAACTAAACTGCTGGCTAAATGTAGAACAAGTAGATACAGATAAGGTTAATATCAATAAGAACCATTGCAAAGAGAAGAGAGATAATCACCTAGTAGGAAAAACTTGGAATATGTAGTCAAGAGATCTGGATTTACCAATGGATTTACAACTAATTTTCTATTTCTTCTTTTTCCAATTCACCTCTCTGAGTCTTAGTTTTCTTATCTGCAAAATGTGGCTTAGAACTTCTATTACTTCAAATGTTTGCAAAAGGAAGTGAGATATCAACTACAATGCAACAGCCACAATAAAAAGATAACCTTTTCCATAGATAGCTTACTGGGTTGTTGTATGAATCAAGTTAATAATATAGAGCTTTATAAACTCTAAACAAATACTATTTTTTTTTTTTTTTTTTTGCGGTACGCGGGCCTCTCACTGTTGTGGCCTCTTCCGTTGCGGAGCACAGGCTCCGGACGCGCAGGCTCAGCAGCCATGGCTCACGGGTGCAGCCGTGGTGGGATCTTCCCAGACCTGGGCACGAACCCGTGTCCCCTGCATCGGCAGGTGGACTCTCAACCACTGCGCCACCAGGGAAGCCCACAAATACTATTTTTAACAAAACGATAACTGGGTAATGCTGAGAGAGAGTATTGAACGTGAGTTTGGACTGTAAACTCCAGTGAAGAGAATTGTGACTATAAGCTTGTGCTTGTTGAGGTACAATGAGGAGGATTTGGTGAGAGAATGAGAGACCTGTTTAGACAAGACAGGGTTGGGTACAACTGGATACCATTTTTTAGGGTTAGTCTTTGATTTATACCGCATAATCATGTACTTCAAAAATTGCAAACTTTTTGCATAAGCATGACAATTTTATTTGCCTTATCTTTACAAGGGAGATACATTACAACCTAAATGGCAGATGAAGAAACTGAGAGACCCAGTGGTTAAATGCCTTAGCCAAGGTCATAAAACTAATGAATGTCAGGGCCAGTATCAAACCCTGGGATTCTTAACTCCTAAGGTGGTGTGGTTTCTGCCACATTGTCAGTGATGGTTTGGTTATGGGTTGATGAAGTAATGAATATGGATAAAAGTTTAAAAGGTTTGGACCCAATATCTGTTTTTTGAATCCATCATTTTCTGCCAGGAGAGTGTTGAAGCCAGGAAACTGCTCCCTCAGTGAGAATTAGAGGAAGAAACCACTTGAATCACATATGAAACATTCAGCCCAATCAAAGCAACCTTCAAGAGCTGAAAAGTAACCACAGCTTTGAGAGTCCATGCAAGTAAGCCAATAAATCATGATATTTATTAAATGTCCCATTAAAGTGTCATTGAGATCTAGTCCTTTGCCTACATGATTTCAAAGTTGCCAAATTTAAATATGGTAACAAATATCAAAATACCTGGAACTTCTAGGAAGGACAGGGGAAGGAGGTGAACCACTCTTTCCCTGGGGAAAAAAAAGTGCTATTGATATATTTATGCAGTTAAATCCTATAAGGAAGATATGACAAAGAAAATTCTTGGATAATGACAGAGATTTTGAGGTTCCTAAAATGTTTACTATTTCAGGAAATATTTAATGTCATAACATCATTGCTTAACAGAATAATTTGGGCACCTTTAGAGAGTGTTTCTGTGATTTGATCTGCTTATTAAAATACTTGTATTTGAAGGGTTTAGGTTTATTTTATACTTTTTATCTTTTCCCTTTCTCATGTTTTTTTCATATGTAGATATCCTTTGAACATTTATTGACCATGTTTTAGTAACTATGAGTACATCAATTTATCACATTACAATTTATATTTGATAATTATTTATATAAAAAAGAATCACTTACCTAGCATAGAAAATAACTAATTTCACTTAAATGAGGTTTTGAAATAAATTATGGTGGATAGAAGAGGATCCAGGTCCATAGGCTCTGCTTCTTATGGTAGTATTTTGTAGATATGTAGTAGAATCTCAATAAATGTTACCTGAATCATTGAAAAAATAGATGGGATTATCTCTGAGCCTTAGTTTCCTCATATATAAAAGGAAGATAAAAATACCTATGATAGTGTTGTTTTTAATGAGGAAATTTTATCTAATTTCTATTGTAGTGACTGGAACACAACAGCTGCTTAAAAATCATAGGTGTTACATAAATATCAGTTTCCTCTCCCACTTCCTGTTCTTTTTCCTCTGATTCATTTTAGGTGGAAATCTTTCTAAAATGTTGCCTATACTTTTCAAAAAATAAAGGTATCTAAAGTAATTTTAATGAAGACTAAGAGCATAGTAATAACGAGCATTAATTGAGTTTTTACTATGTTCTAAGAGCCATAGGAATTATTATTCTCTTCTTAAATATGAGGAAATCAAAGCTCAGATGGGAAAAACAATATCCCCAAAGCCATGTAGTCATTAAAAGAAGGAGTCAGAGTTTGAATCAAGTTTTTGGACTGCCAAGTTCCTGTGCTTAGCCCTAATGCCATACTGTCATGGTTATGAATAGTGATTCTCATATTGGGCTTGAATACAGGGAAACAGTTAGAAATTACTAATGCTTGTTTGTCCTACACTGAATATTCTAAGTAGACTAATACTAATGTGCTTTTAAAAGTTCAGGCTGTTTTTGATGATTTTTTGTTCTTATGCCTATTAACTTAAGTCATTTTTTCCTTCATAGTCCAGGAGAGAGTGCTTTTATTTCACTGCACTGCTGTTTTGTAGGTTGAGAAATCATATAACAATATGTTTAAGAATCTGGATAAGACAAAAGTAATATGCCTGAGGACTTCTTCTCTTACTAAAAGATATAAAATTTAGCGCCTGAACTTCTGAGGTGAACTCATTGCTAATCCAACTAATGCTTATTAAGTGTTGGGCATTAGGTGGCACACAAAAATGGGAAAGACTTGTCCCTTACCCATAGACTTTACAATGAAGCCATACAAGGTACAATATTATATACAGATAAAAAGCTACAAGATAGGTTGTATTTTTAAATCAGAGAATACTCATTTTTAAGTTGGGGAGAAGACAATATAAAAATTGTGAGTGTACCTGGAGCAGAGAGTATCAGTAGATTTTCCTTAAGTTGAATTGAATTCCTTAAGTTGAATTCCAAGATACTAAAGGTCTTAATGAATATAAAGAGTGAATAATAAAGGACAGCAAATACATGGACAAAAATTAAACAGAAGGAAAGCTTATGTTCTGAATAATGTCTTCTGAATAAGTGTATTTTAACTAAATTCTTGAGTTGGAATATAAAGATAAAATGAGTTGTTTTTGTGTGTACCCCTTCCCTTACCCAACACGTGTTCCATTTCTGTGCTGTGCTGAAATTGACTGGTAGCTGTTTCTGTAGCATTTACTAGTATGGAAGATTGTATTTTCCAAAAATGGCTGCAACAATATTAGCCATCACATATGCTCTTCAGCAAAGCAACAATAGAACATATTTCTGGACAGCAGAAAGCAGATGGAAGTGAATGTATGACTAAACAGAGCAAAAGAAATTATGGTCCAGATCACTCTATGTAAGGGCTGCAGGGGAGGGAGGAGCCAATCTCTCAGTGAAAATCTTGTGGGTAAGGAGTAGAGTTGAAATCAGGAGCATTGAAGATATCTCTTATAAGATTGCTTCTTCTGGTCTTACCCCTCCCACCTGCACATGCCTATGTGCTAAACAGGCAGCTGGGATTTATCCACATGCAAAAAAATTCAGCAAAGGGCTTCTCTAGAACAATTGAAAAATTTTTCTGAGGAAGAGCTAAGGTTGCCTGAGGTGGATTTTAGTGTCTAGAGAAAACCCTATTTATGTTGACATCTGGGGACCTCAGCCTCCAGGTAGACTTCTTATCTGTACTCTCCAACTTGAAACTTGCCCTTTGACAAGCTCTACCCAATGACTCAGATCTCTGTCTTCCTTCCCTTTCAAATGCATAAATGCAACAGCAGAGGAAACCACCCAATCACCTTGAATCATCAGCCTATTCATTTATTATTAAAAGTAAAGGGACCTCTAGATGTCATTAGACCTGTGAGTATAACCAGCGGCATAGACGAGAAAGATCATAATTAACAAAACAACAAAACCCAGGGCAAGCAGAGATAATTTGGGACAAAAAGAGAATATTAAAAATGATAATTTCTATATTTAGGGAAATTCAAAAGTTATTATATTCCCATAAACAGAAGAAAATAATTTAAAAAATGAATGATCAGAGAAAACAGGAGGTTTTGGGTATTTAAAAAAGAGAATTGCCGGGCTTCCCTGGTGGTGCAGTGGTTGAGAGTCCGCCTGCCAATGCAGGAGGCACGGGTTCGTGCCCCGGTGCGGGAAGATCCCACATCCCGCGGAGCGGCTGGGCCCGTGAGCCATGGCCGCTAAGCCTGCGCATCCGGAGCCTGTGCTCCGCAATGGGAGAGGCCACAACAGTGAGAGGCCCGTGTACCGCAAAAAATTAAAAAAAAAAAATAGTCTTGACTAAAAAAAGTCTTCTTTTAAAAAAAAAAAAAAAAAAAAAAGAGAATTGCCAAAATATCATTTAATGAAAGAGCTAGAAGGTGAAATCGATCAAGGCTTCTAATATGTAGGAAGAAAAAAAAGATAGAAAATATGAAAAAGTGATAAGAGAAATAGAGGATTCCTCCAAAAGCCCAATTTCTAACATCTCACTGTATGGGAGTCTCAAAAGAGAGAACAGAATATGTGAAAGGGAGCAAATAATCACATAAATAATAAAAGCAAAATTTCCCAAAGCTGAAAAAGGAAATTTCTTCTGACTAGAAATGCTTACCTTAGCCTGACCAGGATACGTGAAAATTACATCATTATGAACTTTCCACTTACAAAGTATAAAGACAAGATTCCGAAATTTACCAGAAAGATGATGAGGAGAATATAAGAATATAAAGAATAGTAGGAGAATATATGAATATAAAGAATGGGAGGAGAATATAGAGGCAAAGAAGGAGGAGGAACCCTGCTTTCAATCAGTGGGGTGGGGGTAGAGGGTGGTGAGAAAACAGTAGATGCTTCTGAAGTTCTGAGGGAAAAAGGTTTTGAATTTATGATTTTATACTCAGCTAAAATTGTCAGCTAAAAAGTCCAACTAGAAATATTTCCAAAGATGCAAAGATTGAGAAGTTTTACCATCTATGCCTTTATTTTCCTTGAGAAATTGTTACGGTGTTACTTTAATAGCGTGTGGGAGAAAACCATGAAAGTGGAAGATCTGAGATCCAAGAAAGCATCCAACTCAGGAATCAGGGAAGGGAAGTGTTTGCATGTAAGCTGTGCAGACAATCTAGAGCATAACTGGTTCCGGTTGGAGGAGGGGACTGGTGTGCTCAGGGAGAGTATGTGTCCAGGAAAAAAAAGAAAGATTCCATGCAGTAAATAACCAGATTAAGACAATGGAAAACTCTAGAATATTGTGAATACAGATTATTCTTTTGCCAAAAGGGAAGAGAGCTGAAACTCCAGGGGGAAAAAAAATTATATGAATCTGTCATGATTAAAATATGAAGCAAAGTAGACTGTGGTATAAAGTGTTAGAAAATAGAGTTGATTTTGATGCTAGCAACATTTCTCTTTGAGTGACACAGGGTATAGGACACTGGACCTGTGAAGAGGAAATACCATTCTAGCACACAGTTTTGAAATATAAATGATTCATAGGCACAATAACAAAGCACTATATTTAGGGGTTCAGCTATTAGGATTAACCAATAGAAAAACATGAGGACCATTTTTCACTATCTTTACTCTGAGAGTTTCTAGCACTGTGACATGTCACATGACAGATTTATTGAACTAATTGAGCAATGACATCATGACCAAAATGAAAAAAAAATCAAATGTATCAAAAAAGGCATTTTCGTTTTAACAAAATGCCTTTTGGTTAGTCTACATAGAGAAGATATTAAGTGATCTTAAAACATAAATAATATCACTCCTAATATAAATTATTTCAGTGATTTCTGGTTGTACTTAGAATAAATTCTAAAACTTTTACTCAAGATCCTGTATGTCTAGCTTCCTTTCAGCATTTACTTATAGGGTTTCAGGCTGCATTCTCAGCAACTCCCCTACCTAAAGGCAGTTCCTACCATTATCATCCATCCACACCACCCTGCAACATCACTCTCTATTTCAGCTCAGTGTTTATTATATCATCTCATTCTACTCATTACGGGTACCACAATTCTTTCATTTTAAGCTAATGTTTACTTTTTGTTTCCCACTAGAAGGTAAGTTCAAGGAGCAAGAATGATGTCTGTCTTGTTCACTGCGGTCTCCTTGCTCTTTGTTCTACGAGTTTTAATACATATGAAATCTACATTCTCAGTGACATCTTGATGAGTGTCTTAACAACATCTAAAACAGTGACTTTGCTAAAGATCATAAAATTTGAAGGGACCTTGCTATCTTTTGAAAAAATTCTCCAACTAGGACCATCTTGAAAGCACAGGTATAATACTTCAGCTTGGACAAGCTCAGGTCCAGGAGGAAGTGGCTAGGTAGTAGCAGAATATTGAATAGGCGGGGTGTCTCACATTTAAAAAGCCAAAACAGGTTATTAAGAATGCTTTATAAAATTAATAAGAAAGGATGGTGTGGAATTCTTACAGTAGAATTACAGCCAGTCTCATTTTACGAATTTTAAAATGAACAGGATGCTACTCTGGCAGTGCACTCCTCATTTTATTATACCCCAAAATTGCTGAGAGAAAGTGTTTTGAAGAGGATAAAGGCAATGATCTCATCAAGTAGGCTGCCAAAATGTGTTATTAATTAAACAATAAAAATGATCATTGAGTGTGTATGAGATGCCTGGCACTGTGCTGAGCCATCAACATACATGACATCATTTAATTTTCCTAAAGAAACTTTGATCTCATCCCCATTGTACAGATGATACCCATGGTCAGGAATGTTAAATAACCAAAGTCACCAATTTAGTAAGTGACAGAGCCAGGCTTCTAATCTAGTGTATGATGTTATAAAGGTCAAAATCAGAAAGCAATGAAAAATCAAGGCAATTTAACTGAAGGAGGAGGTAATCTTTCCTAAAATATTTATTCTGTTTAATCAAAATATTCGGCATTCACAGTTAAAAATTACAGTGTTTTTCATGGTTCCTAGAGTAAAGTAGCAAATTCTCTGCTAAAGGCATAAAAAGCAAAGTGCCATAGCGTTAAATGGATTTGATGATGAGTTTTGTAATAAAGTTATCCAAGAGTTTTAAGAAATCCTTTCCCCTCTAGAATGAAGATTCTTTTTTTAATCAAACAAGTAAAGAATGCTTTTGCTGAACAGGATTGTTGTTGTGAGAATAGGATTTAATGCCATTAAATGTCCTGGAAAAACCTGTGAAGAGGTAACACTTGTGTATGAGGTCCTAAAATTCAAAGGGAAGCTTGGTCATCCGTCTGTAATCACACCTCTTTTCCATCTTACTGAAGACATTTATACTAACAGACCCTCACATTAGGAAATGTGTAAAATTCTTTGCTGTATTACCCAAAAAAGCATAATAGTAGTAGGTTTACACAGAACAGGTATTCAATATTTGTTGAATATATTAATTAATGAATAAAGGATACTATCAGTAAATATTTACCATATATTTTGCATAATATCTTGTGTTTTAATATACCGTGTCTCATCTAATTTCTAAATAACCCTGTAAATTATTTACATTTAGTTTACATTTAATTTTTGTACAATTCAATTTTTACTATTTGAAATAGAATTTTAGAATGTTATTTTTGGTCAGTACATCACATACATATGATTAAAATGCATGCACAATCATGAATTGGGAATAATTTCGTTCAAAGCTTAAATCTAGCTTTGAAGGACTTTGCAACAGGTCAGGAAATATTAAGTACATTTTATAATTTTGCAAAACAAAGCTAAGGCAGAAATGTACCCCATATCAAACACCTTAACTTTTTGGAACCCAACTCTTCTGACCTCAAAATCACCTATTTTTCCATAATAAACTGTCTCAATGTCTATATTTTTGTTGAGAGCTTTGCTCATTGGGTTGTCTGAAGAAGATGAGATGTAAAGAACATGTGTATGTCTCTCTTTTTCCAAGAATCACACTGAGTATATACCTCACTGGCTTTCAAGTATTAAACAGGGCTGGAGGTCTTTAATTTTTCAGCCAGCCTTTGGCAGCTCAGACATTCTGTAATATTGACAGAAGGAAAATCATAAAAAATTTCTTAAAAGAAAATTGAAGGTGTATTGAGTTTTAATGAAATGCTCTTTTAAGATACATATTGCTTGGCTTTTCTGGGCTCAGTTTCCTTATTTCTAAAGAGAAGACAATTGGATTATGTGGTATCCATGCTCCTGCCAAGAGCAGGACTATTTTCAGTATGATGAAGAAAGTGCTTGTATTTTTTTCCAGCTATTAGTAGCTTGTTTCTTTCTTTCTTTTCATCACTCTATTTGTAGATAATTTTTCCAGCATGACACATTAATATATGATGGCTGATGGAGATGGTTTCCAGGACGCTTGTAAGATTATACATCTTCTTGTCTAATGACACTAATTTTGTTAAATGCTATTAGAAATTTGGGAGTATGGGATTATAAAACCAAGTATCATTAGCCATTCTACAGTCTGCTTCATATTGGTATGTCTTTTCTAGGTGTTCATGATTATCTCTTTCTGAAGTGGATAGGAATTATATTCTCTTATTTGTATCTCCCAAACATATCACCTCACAGTGAAAGCCGTGTTGGTGATATCTTGCTGACAGGAAGAAAGGTCTGTGCCAGTGATAACAACCACGTTCCTATTCCCTGACCCTGCTACTTATCTTCTGGGTGCCACCTTTCATACCTTCTATAGCCTTTCTGGGCAAATTTTAAAATGACCATGCTGTCAACCTTTTCATGTGGTGAGGACATCCAGACGGCCACCCTTGCCAAATACAGAAATTGGCACTTGCAATAGCCCAGAAGTCACCTCTGTTCTGACTCAGCTGTGACCAATGACACAGACTAAAACACGTGAGAGAACTGCTGCTTGTCCTGGGAAGATATACATACATGTTTTCTAAAGAAAGAAAACTATTTTGGAATTTCTGGATGTGACAACCTTTCTTGTTCACACTCAGTAAACACGTTAGCTGGATTCTTCTGATTGTCAATTAGCAATGTTTTTTTTTTTTTTGCCAGGAATACTGGCATTGATGCTGTCCTTAGCATTGAAAAATCCTGTGGGAGAAATGAGGAATTTAGTTGTAGGTGTTATGATTCCCGAGTGTCTGACAGTCTTCTAGAATTATTATAACTAGTGAACTTTTCAATCAGAAAGACTGACTCTATTGCTGTTAGGTTTCAAGAGGAGTTTCTTTGAAAAACAAGGGCTAGGATTTAATCTACTTTCAGAGGCAAGTCACATCTCTCATTATTGAGCACTTGGACTGAAGAGCTCGCAGGGCAAATGAGGCCAAGGTCAGGAGTCTTCAGACATCAGCAGCCAAGTGCTGTCTTGTAAGAAGTGATTCTGTCCCTCAGTTACAGTTCTGCCCCTGGCCCTGACTTGCTCTCTCACCAAGAGATGGTGGTTGTACCTGACACAAGGGAGGCCAAGAAAGAGATCGAGAATGGCAGTGAAAATCATCATGATACTGAAATAGAGCAGAGAGCTAGACTGAATATGGATTTGTAGCTTCCCCTTTGCATTAAGGTGAGCCACACAAAATTGCCAGTTTTGTTAGTCCAAAAAAGTAAAATAAGAACAATTTTATACTGTTCAAAAACTTACATTTTTCTGATGATAATATAGAAAGGAGAATTTAGAGAATTCTGTTAGGTCAGCTAGTCTGATTCTTTTTCATGCAAATACAACTTTCTCAAGTTAAATGATCAGACTTATATTTTAAATATATGGTATTCTAAAATAAAATTTTAGTAGAAACAAGGTTATACAATCTAATAAATAAACTATTTCTCTTACTTAAGCCCAGTAAATTATGGGGGCAATATTATGTGATTATGACTACCTCCTGAAGCCAGGATGCAAGGTTCAAATTGCAGCTTGGATATGTAGTACCTTCACCTTGAGCAAGTTACTTACTCCATCTGTGACTCAGTTTCCTTACCTTTAAAATGGGAATGATAATAGTACCTATCTTGTTAGGTTGCTGCAAAGATTAAATTACTTAATCTACATAAAACATTTAGAATGGTACTCAGTAAATATTAGCTATTATAAATATTGTTACTGATAATTGCCAATCACCAAATGAAGCCATGGAAGAAAACTAATTAAATATGCAAATCCCTGTTGCTGTCATTGTTGCTGTTGTTTTCAAAATAGATTTTTGGTCTAGAGCAACTGATCTGAGAGCCCAGTACTATATTTTAGGACTGGCTATTGGTGTTAGGCAAAGCTCATGTGCATGTTGGGTGATAACATTGTCAAAGATGACTGAAACATTTCACATGATGAGCTTTAGAAGAGCCAAGAACTCCAGTGAGCTCTAAAGATAGATCATCAGCCTGCACAGAATTAATCTCTGCTGGTTTACAGACCAGAAGTGCAATGACCTCACAGTGAGCCTTTTAGAGGATAAGTTCGATTGGATGAGGACAATGTTAGTGACTTGGTTGGTCAACATGCTCTAGCCCCTATCAAATCTTTGGTGTCTGAAATTTTGTTACACTGATTCCTGTCACCAGGAAAAAGGGAGCCAACTCTCTCTTGTTCAGGAATTGTGTGAGGTTCAACAAATACATAGCAACCAAGTTTTTATTTGAGCAGGGTGGCAGACAAGTTCTCAGTATGCTACTAGAAGAAGAAATACCTGAGATAGCAGTGTTTATGGTCAGATGACTGCTGAAAATACAAGAAGGTGGAATCTAAAAGCCAAGAGGAATTTTCAGGGCAGCGGACCACTACATTTCCCTTTTTGCACTGAAAACTGTGAGGTCATGGACACATAGCCATAAACTCTGCAAAAAAAATGAGTTCCTTTCATACTGTATTCAGCAGTGGATTTGAAGCAAAAGGTCCTTGGTAATTGTTTTACTCTGATGATCTTAGGGAGAGAGGATGGTTGTGAAAACACTCTACCTCCCTGCTTCTCTCTCACTCTGTCATATTTCTTTGTTTTGACAATTCCAGAACCCTGATTAACTATCCAATTACTGCTAGTTAAAGTAATTGAATATTGCTGGGGAAGAAATTCACAACTCAGGTAAATGGTTTTATTTTAAATTCACAATATTTCTCAAATGGGCACTCAATACTCCCCTACAATCCTATGAAATTTCCCCAGAGTGTTCACTTTTCCTATACCCTACACCAATATTTCATGTTCTGTCCCATGCTCTTCTCTTGCGATCATCTGCTGACTTTCCTCATGCTTCACAAAGAAAACCAAAGCCCTCTGATGGGATTTCTTTTTTTCTCACCAGCACATCAGGAATCCACCTGTGTTTTTGCCCATACTCTCTGCTTTTCCTCCCAACCTGTCTGCTCATTCTGCTGCTCTTCAAGGGCATAGATCAGCCCTGTTTCTTTTACATCACTAATGTATTCCTCTCTAATGGATGCTTCGCATTGGAATTATAACCTTAAAAAAATGTATTGATCCTCGTATCTACAATCCACTAACACATTTTTTCCTTCCCTTTACAGTAAAACCTATTGAAAGAGTTTCTCTCTCTCTCTCTCTCTATTTCTTCTCTATCTCAACTTCTTCTCCTTGACCCACTCCAATAAGACTCCCCTCTCCAGCCCTCCCCTAAAAATGCTCTTGTCAAGGTCAGCAGTGACTTTTGTGTAGACACATTCAATGGTACCTACCCTCTCAGTTGCATTTGATAGAAAAGACCCCTGTCTTCATCTCCATATATCTCCTTGTTTTCCTATGACTTCAGTGCCCATGCCCTCTCAGTTTCCTTTGCCAGCTTAACTTCTTCTTCTACCTTTCAATGCTGGTATACTTTAGTATTCAGTCCTGTGGCTCCTTCTCTTTTCCATGTATTACATTCAGTCTCCAGGTAATCTCGGTTATGGCTTTACATGCTGATAAATCCCACACTTATAGCTCTTGCCCCGGACTACACCACAGATCTCTGGACTCATATCCAATTGTAGACTTGTCATATACACTTGGCAAGTAAACTTTCAGTGTTCTGAACAGTGCTATTAATGTATGTTTTCTCCTTTCCCACATATCTGTTTCTTCCCTATTCTAGTAAATACCATAATTTACCCAGGTAGCACAAAACAAAATTATACGTCAGCCTGTTCCCTTTGTTTTTTCACTCCTCATATCCAATCCACCAGCAAATACTGTCAAGTGTTCTCTCTATGTTTTCCGAAGGAATTTGTACCAGATTAGTGATATTTCTTCCTTAAATATTTGATAGATTTTACCAGTAAAACTAATAGCCAGGATTTTTCTTTGGGGGAGGTTTTTGATAACAGTTTTACTTTATTTAAAAGATGGCTATTCAAATTGTCTGTTCTATCTCTTAACAGTTTTGGCAAGGTATTTTCAAGCAATTTGTCAATTTCATTGAAGTTGTCAAATTTATTGGCATAAAATTGTCCATAATATTTTTTGTTATCATTGTCTGACCTGTTGAATCTGTTGTGATGAATCTCCTTCATTATTGATTTTGGTAATGTATATTCTTTTTACCCTTTTTTTGGTTTATCAATCTAGCTAGGGGTTTATCAATTTTGTTGACCTTTTCAAAGAGCTATCTTTATTGGCTTTATGAAATTTCTCTGTGTTTGTTTTCTCTTATCTCTATTAAATAATTTTTGTCAAGTTATTTTAAGTTTACTTTGATCTTTTTTTTTCTGACTTCTTAAAGAGGTAGACGCTCAGGTCATTAATTTTTAGAGGTTCTCAAATTTTTTGGTCTCAGGACATATTTGCACTCTTAAAAAAAACTATGGAGACCCCAAAGAGCTTTTCTTTTATGGGTTATATCTATTGACTACCCATGATTATATACCATATAATAATTGAAACAGAACAGTTATAAATAATTAATTTTGTAAAATGTCAATAATAAACCCATTACATGTTAACAAAGTAACATATTTATGAAAAGTAACTATATTTTCAAAAATAAAAACAATAGTGAGAAGTGACATTAAATTTCTGCATATCTCTTTATCATCTGGCTTTATAGAAGATAGCCGAATTCTCATTTCTGCTTTTGTACTCTGTCCTTTGAAATGTATTGTTTTGATTGGAGTTTATGAAGAAAATTCAGCCTCACACAAATATGTAGTTGGAAAAGGGGATTTTATTTTAATAATTTCTTCAGATAATGGAGGATATTCTCCTTTACTATTACACCAAAACTTGACAGTTGTTTTTCAGAGGTTACTTTCAGTGTGGAATCTGAAACCATGCCTGTGAATTTTTCATACTCTTATTTTAAAATCTACTCATCTACCTTGAACTTTGAATGGAACTTTGAATCTCTTATCAATCTTTTTGTTTGTTTTCTGTAGTAACAGCATGCCTTGTTCATCAGAAGATTATCAATTCACAGAGTTACACAAATCTTCCAAAGATTGATACATTTCATTGTACAATATGAAAAAAAAATCTCATTTGTTAATATCATCACTGATCTCCATTGATAAGTTTTTAAACATTTGGTATTTGCAGCGGCAGATACCAGTTTCCCAACATTATGTTTCCTAGGAAAGCTTAAATTCTTTATTACTGGTAACAGTGTCGATTGTTTTCCTTGAAGTGACAAGCTCACTTCATTTATTTTTGACAAAATGTCTTCACAAGTCTGACTAACCATTCCTTGTCTATCAGTCATTATTTCAAATAAAAACAATTCCATGAAAAATGTGGCTAGGTCATCTCACAGCACAAACAATCACATAGGTGCTTTTCCTCAAGACTATCATTACATTTTGGATTTTGGTATGCACCAGAAGTGCTTTCTGTGTGATCTCATTTTGTCACACAAAATAATAAAAACCTGTATACACCAGGTTTTAGATTTAATAAAGCTAATATTTTTACTGGTTTATCAATGATATTCTCAAGTAAAACTGGCATTTTTTTTCGTTTACTGCAAGTGATGATGCAGACTATAACGACTACTACTATTGTTCGGTGCCATTGCCTTGACTTGTGCTAAAGCACCAGAAGTTTACCCACTATTGCTTTTGCACCACCAGTGTAAATGTAAACATCATGAAAAAAGCAAAGAATAACTTATCATTATTATCAATATATTTTTCTCAAAGTGTCTTGAGTGATCCCCAGGTTTTTATGGACCACACTTTGAGAATCTCTGGCCTAGATTAATAAGAACAGGTGTGTGTGTGTATATATATATACATATATATATATATATATATATATATATATATATATATACGTTCCAAATGCTTTTTCTACTAAAAATTTATTCTTTAATAAACAGTATTTTTAAAATTTATTGGATATAAACTTAGATATATAATATGAGCAAGATATAAGATGATTCAAATATCTAGAGAAAATTTAAGAACTTTTTCTTAGGAGTCTTAATTCTTTTTTTTTTTTTTTTTTTTTTTGCAGTACGCAGGCCTCTCACTGCTGCGGCCTCTCCCGCTGCGGAGCACAGGCTCCGGATGCGCAGGCCCAGAGGCCGTGGCTCACAGGCCCAGCCTCTCCGCGGCATGTGGGATCCTCGCGGACCGGGGCACGAATCCGTGTCCCCTGCATCGGCAGGCGGACTCTCAACCACTGCGCCACCAGGTAAGCCCAGGAGTCTTAATTCTTTTATCAGTCTGTAACCTAGCTTCTTCTTTATGGTTGTTTTGCATGTGTGCTTTGGACAACAGATCCTCAAACGTAACCTTTTTACTAGCTATTTTCACTGATTGTAATAATAGTACCTGCTGTATATTAAGCTATTAGTGTATGCCTGGCACTGTATTAAGTACTTTAGATTCGCTAATTCATTTGGTTCTCACAATAATGCTCTGATGTGGGAATTGTGATTCCCATCAAATAGGTGAATGCCTGATAACTATGCAGCAAAACTGTGTTGAATGAATAATTCACTGCGTAAGGTTCCTCCCTCCTATAGTCACCTCCCCTACTACCACTCAATAAATGGTAGAACCAAGACTCAAACCTGGCTATCCATGAAGCCTAGTCTTGTTCCCTCAGATGCTGTTAGGTGTCCTGATAGAGCAAATGCACTATGTTTGGCCTCTTAACTCAGCAAATTAGTTTTGAAGGTTAATTTTCTGGCTGTTTTTTAAAGCAGAGAGGGGTAACTAAGTAGTTGTCCTCTGAAAAACCACTTCCTCTGCAAAAGCCCAAAGCCGTTGTAGCCGAGCCCTGTATCCATGACATCGCAACCCCAGGTAGAAGAAGCTTCCTTTAGTAACTCCACCATCTCACTTTCCAGCTTACTACTCTAATCATCCCAGCTGATTAGCTTAATAAATATGTTTAATAAAATGACTAATGGTTTTTTAGAGTTGTATTTTTGGAACTAGATGTCATTTTCAAAGATTTTTTATTAGTTTCCCTTTTATTATTTCCCTCCTTCTATTCTCTTCCCTTATCCATAGTCTACACTGAACATCTTGAAACATACAGTGAACACAACTGAAGGACTTTTAAAACAAACTTAGAAAACATTTTTCTTCAGGGACCTAAACACATATAACATTGTTGGAGGAAAAAGTACCATTAAGTTTGCTTTGACTTTTAAAGTGCCTAGGGGCTTATGGGGGAGAAATACTCAAAGCATGCAAATGAAAAGAAGGTTTTATCCTAAGATACCTGAAAAGCCTTTAGTAATATATTGCGTTTATTTTCTCTTCGACTTTTCCATGTGGCAAAAAAACACAACCCCACACTGTAACAAATACTTAATTTTTTCCTTTCCTCTGATCAAAGTCCAAGACACTTACAAAGAAATTCTCCTCCCCAGCTAAAAGAAGAGCAAAATTCTCAAAGACAAGAACATAAAATTTGATAACCTTATATCTCCCAGTAGACTGAAATTTATTTTGAAACCTAAATATGATAATGTGACTGAAAATTTAACCTACTAAAACTAATGATACTCCAATATTCCTGAATGTCTACCTTTAGCATTTGGCTGGTACCTATGAACTCACCATTTCAATAAAAACAAACTAGTTAAATCTCTTTGTCCAAGAAACTTAAGATTTAAGTGTGTTTCCTGCACATCTTTA